GGTCGTACGACAGGGCGAAGCTCGAGCCAAGACTGGTTGCGGAAGTCGAAGATGTAAGTCTCGTTAGAGAAGCGCTGGAAAATTTCCTCATATCCGCCAAACACCAGCATCTTGTCACCGTAGACACAAGCAGAATGACCGTCCCTTGCCGGTGGCACAACGCCTGTTGCATGGATCTTACTCCATTCAGCGGAACGAGGGTCGAACTCGAACAGAACGTTGCAAGCCCCATCGACGTCGTTCCTGCCTCCCCAGATGTAGCAGTTGTTGCGGTACCCGACTGCTGTGTGGCCGTAGCGCTGGTAGGGTATTGTCCGTGACAGAATATGTTTAGGTGCTGGCAAAGAATGCCACTGGTACGTGTCTAAAATGGAGAAAACAATGCACGTACGTTTAAAGAACTAAACAGTCGTCACAACTCGCTGCTAATGGCCTTACCACTCGGTCTACGACTGTTTTATGCTGTTTGCATCAACTGAACGTCCCTGTGATGTTTCGTGTATTCGCACTTTACAACACCTTTGTTACTGGGCACCGACTACTATATCATAGAAAAAATAGTTTCGCTACAAAAGCATATCTGCCATATAACCTTAATAATGCGTGAAAACTAATGCTGTTCTACGGAATTCAACTGTAGTTCTTAGTTCTCCATTATAACAGCTATGTAAATGCCGTACAGAACCGTAACCGAAGGTACAGGTGGATTTTTGTGAAAAGGGTTATTCTTTTCTCAGCTGAAATATTGAGCAGGTTACCAAGAGCACTAGAGACTAGGGAGATCCTCATATTTAACTTTGACTGGAGTGTCATCGCTGGAAATTTGTGAAACGGGATATTTAAATTAGTCGATTTCGTACGTTGTTTCCCTTGTGTTATATTAGTAGATCAACCGTTTTTCACGATTTTTCATAACTTTGAACTACCGGGCATTAGAATAGTGGCAGTTTTTCCAACAGTGTTGCATATGGAAGCCGTCCGGTGGCGAAATCCGCCCCCTGGCCTACTAAAAAGGAGAATATTATTAGTGTATTGCAGATCCAAGAGGCTTCTAGTTGGCTATCTTGAAAAACGCACGCCCTCAAAAATGAGATCTTCGTCTTCGCTTGGCAAACACTGCTTCGACTGAGAAATTTGAAACAATGTTGAACAACAAAGATAAAAACAAATCTCCTTAAACAACTCCACAATTGATATGGAACACCACACATGAAACTCTTTAAACCTTGACGGCAGATATGGTTACGGCATACATCGCATTCAAAACAAACGATTTGCTCAGGCATCCCACAGCAAATCAGAATCTTCCACGTAGCTAGACGATGTCATGAATCAAATGCTATCTGTCTAGGAAACTGTAAAACCATGGCAACGGGAACCGTCGGCATTGCTCAATGATTTTAAGCAGAGTGAAAATTTGGTCAGGGCAGAAACACCTTATCCGGAAGCCTGGTTGACTACGGCGAAGCCCCCGTGAACAGTCTGCCTTAGCTTTTCCAGGATGATTCCGGAAGAGAGTTTGCCGGGT